GAGCTGCGCCGCCACGTGCAGAGGGGTGTCCTGGCCCGCGCCCCCAGCTCGCTGCACCGAGGCGCCATACTCCAGCAGCGCCTGTGCACACCTGCGGGGAGGCCGAGGTAGGCACCGAGGTGGGTGACGGCCTGGGCACAGCACCCACTCCCTGCACCCCTGACCCACTGCCCCATGGCTGGCATTTATGGGGTGAGTTACCCCACTTAAATGTCGAGGGCGACCCCGAGAGAAAGGCGTGCATTTGGGGCTCCTGCCCCAAGGTCACAGGAGTTCCAGTTGGGCCGGGGAAAGGTAAGATTATGGCAAGCACCGTGTGTGTCGGGGTTCGAGCTCCGCAGGTTAGGAGTGGCAGAGAGCGCCAGCGACACCTCCTAAGAACTCAGAGTTACAAGGCAAGACGCATCCGAACCACTTGGGAAGGTGGTGTGGGCGGAGCAGTGCGGACGGCTGCCTGGCGCTCTAGGCAGCCTCCTGGAGGGCCAGGCCCTTCTCAGGGCCCTGTGCTTTTCCGGGAAAAGGCTTGGCTTCGGGGACTGTGGGAGGCAGCTGGCCTTGCTCTCCTGGGAAGAGTCAGTGTCCCTCCGCCACTGACTCACCCCAGAATCCTCAGGCAGCTCTCCCAACATGAGGGGGACACACCATCCCTAACGGGGTCCCTGTATTCCAGACTCTTCTGATCAGACTGGATTTTGGCTGGGCTCAAATCCTCCACCAGACTTTTGGGGCTTCTGGGTCCCTGTAGGGGACTGCAGTCTCCCCTTGGTGCGGGGTCTTCCAGCTTCACGGGTTGGACCCAAGACTGTCCTGGATGGCAGCCTCCCCAGAACCTCAGCTGGCACTCAGAGGGTGGCAGCTGGCCAGGCGGGCGCACACTGGACCTCATGGCCAGGCACCCAGTGGGCAGCTCTGTCGGCCCCAACCTGAGAGTGGGGGCAGTTGCTGACCTTCCTCCGGTCCGATAGCCCTTGTTCTCCATGGACACTTTGGCCACCTGCCTCTGCATCACCTGCACAGTGCTGACCCTACACTGCTCCAGGCCTGGTGCCTGACGCTCCAGCCGGCTGATTCAGACCGCAGTCCCCAGCCCCTCTCGCTCGCTGGTGCCGGCTGCCCCCAGTCACCACTACTTTTGTAGCCCCGAGCCCTTGTCCCCGAATGTCCCAGCCTGTCCTGGCTTCTCTTCCTTCCTGGGCAGCACTGTAATCACTCTTCTCAGCGGCTCCCTTCCCCTGTTGCTGCTGTCACTGTCCTTTGGTGGAGTGTTACAGGTCTCCTGCTGGAACTGAGGGGAGCATGGCCAGATCTGGAGCACCCCAGAGCCCTCCTCTACCTGACCTCTACCTATCTGATGAGCCCTGTGGGAGGGCGCTGCTGTCCTGGAGACTAGCCTCTGTCTCAGCCGGCCATGGCTCCTTCAGTTAATTCCTGATTTTCACTGTTGAAGGCCAGCTCCTTATCCCTCACTGTACTGGTCATTTCCTCCAAGATAAAACAAAATACCTGGTGTCCACAACGGAGTGGAGAAGAGGTTTAATCGGGCTCACAGTCTCAGAGGGTTCAGTCTGTGGTCACCTGGCTGGTGGAAGGGCCTGCGGAGCATCCTTGCTCTTTGGTACAGTGCTGAGCCTGTGCTCTGTCCTGGAGTCCTGCCTCCCACCCTACCATCCTCCTCTCGGCTGTGTACTCCTGCTCCATGTGGAGTGGGGGTCCCCAGGGACTCCCGTGCCTGCCTGCCTCCTGCAGATGAGTCTGTCTCAGCACTGCCGGAATCTATTCCATGCCTATTGTTTCCTAGTCTGCCCTGTGTCCTCCCTTTCCATCACCTGCCCGTGTGGCATCCCCATCGGCATCCCTGGGGCCTTGTTCTGCCAGCGACTTGCTCTTTGTGTTTCTCTGTCCTCCTGTCTCCCCTAACCCCAGTGGCAATTGGCCACTGAACCTGGTTGGCACCACCTCTTTCATAGTCCCTTGAATGGCTCCCTTCCTCCATTGCCGCTGTCACGAGCCCTTCCGAGGCCAGATCACGTCTTGTTGCAGCGTGACAAGTCTCCTTCTTTGCCGGCTACTCCGTCAGGCCAGACCCCCGTCTCCCAGAAAATGTCTTGGTAGTGTGAGTCAGCGCCTGCTTTAACCCAGCAGCTTCTCCTGTGGCTGCATAAAGCCCCTCCTTCGCAGGATGCCAGCTCCCAGGGGCCTCAGCAGCTTCTCCTCCCAAGGTCACCCGGTTGCTCAGTGTTTCCCGTCCAGGTGGCTCCTAGGACCGCCCTGCCGTTTCCTACTGCCGGGGCTCTGTGTATGCAGGCTTTCTTCCCGGGACGCCTGCCTCCCTCGATGGTCCTTCCCCTGGCAAGCCTTCCCCGTGCTGCCAGGCCGAAGGGCCACACCTCTGTGTGTGCCTCGCCTGCGTGTGCCCCGGCCTGACACTTGTCACACCATGTCTCCCAGGTTGTTGGCATCTCGTCGCCTTGCCCTGTTGGCGCCCGGAGTGTGGACTTGGGGTTTTTATGTCTGATTCTCAGTGCCTCTGGTGCCAAGCCCGTTACTAGCCTCCCTTAAAAGCGTGTTGAACAAATGCATTTCGTTAATTTACAGTGTTCGGCCTTTCCTCAAGTTGCTGCTCCTTTTCCCGCTATTTACCTAGCAGGGCTCTGAACCCGATCATCCAGGAGGCGCTGCCCGTGGCTGCCCTTCCGTCTGTCCATCTGTGCTCCTCCTAGGACCCCAGTGTTCTTCACCCCCTTGGTGTTTTTCTAACCCCTGCGTCGTCAGTCTCTCGAGAAGTGGTGGGTCTCGGGTGGAAGATCTTACAGACAAGGAGGCTGTAATGCGCGACGTCCTTCGGGATGATAACCAGCTAAAAGAGGATGCAAATTTTACAATCAGCGCTTCAGTCTGCTTCCTGCTCGCCTCTCTGGGAGGAATTTTGAACTTGCAGCAGGAGGTAACAAATCAAGGGCTCCATCTCATTTTGCCACTGAGCCTCAGAAACAATTACAAAACCTTTCCTTCTATTATTTTTTAAAAGCATCTCAGCCCCCAAGGACGTCCACTAGGGGTACAGCCAGTCCTCTTTTCCACGACCCAGCCTAACTGGCTAATGGCGAGGTTGCTGTCTCAGGAGGGTGGGGCACTGCCCCCTCCCCGCCAGAGGGTTGCGGATGCTCTTCTTGTTTTAAATGAAGTGCTTCTAATCGCCTAAACCCCCACACTTTCCTGCAGTGGGCATTGGTTTCTGGTGCAGGACCAGAGGCCCGAGGAAAATCAAGGGGACAAATGGACGAGTGCACGTCTGTGTGAGCCGCTCTGGGCAGTCATTAAAAATGAAGGCGTGCGAGTCTGCGGGATGGCACGGAAGGACCTGTGTGTGGCTGTGTGGAGCCATCAGGCTACAAAGCAGGATCTCACGAGCGTGGTCCCATTTTAAAAAGCCATCCGTATGTGCGTGTGCACGGGCAATGTGCCTTCCTCTCCCGATGACGGGCCTGTGGGGGCTTTGACTTCCTTTTTGCCTGCCTGTATTCTCAACTTTTCCAAAACAAGTCGTAGTGACAGTTTGAAATAAGCACAACAGACATTGTTAATCACAGAGCACCCCCAGCAGCCCCAGAGCAGCCTGAGGACTCTGAGGAAGTCAGCCTGGCTTTTCCGGCTGCCAGAACACGCTCGACATTTTCATGAATGAGTTTAGTGGCAGCAGCAGCCTTGGGCCCCAGGTCTGGCAATGCTGAGAGGACAGTGGAGCCCAGCGTGATTAGTAGCGGGCAGAGAAGTGGGGACCTCCCAGACCCCACTGGGGACCCAGGTCCTTCCATAAACATGTTTACCCTTTCAGTGCTGTGTATGTGTCCCCACTGATGAAGAAATGGCCCAGTGGGGAAAGCAGGCCTGTGTGAGGAGCTGGCAGGGGCTGAGCCCTTTACTCCAAGCGGGGACTGTGAGCAGGTTTCCTGGCACTTTGACAGACAGGCGGAAGTAGGCCCATGGTCCGTGCAGAACAGGTCTGTCGGGCACCAAGGGCAGCGTCTGAAGATGTCAGGACCACTTGTCTCTATCTCACAGACATTTAGGGGACGTGGTATGCTCTCAGCAGCCTCTGGGGTGGAGACGGTCTCCCACCCCCTTCTGTGCCTTGTCTCTGCCTTTGATGAGGACTGTGGTGACGGCTGCTACCCGGCCAAGCTTGACAGCACCAAGAAAGACACTTGGCCCAAAGGCAGGAGTGAATAGCCACGGGGCCATTGAGGGCTGTTGGGTCAATGTCACTTTAATTCACTCCTGAGGAGGAGACAGACAGACAGCCCACGGGCCATGCTCTGCTGCCATCCACCCTGTGCGGGAGCTCGGTGATAGGAGGAGGAATTTGCACTTAGGGAAACTGAGGCTTGAAAGAAGCCCAATGGCTTACACGAGGCCCTGCAGTCAGGAGCAGCAAAGTGGAGGCCTGGGCTGCCCCCTCTGGCTCCTGAGTCAGCCACATCTGCCCTGCTGCGTTCTCCCGAGGGCCCAGGATGAACTCGCTGGGGCTGGCGTATGCAGTGGTGGTGCCAGGGGGTACGATGGAGCCGCAGACTCCTATCACCTTTCACTGAAAGCCGCACCTTTTCTACTTAGCCACGTTTACCCATGAGGCATTTTCCATACGTGCTCACTGAGCTCTTCACTCACACATTCACTCTTTCGTGCATCCAGTAGAGAGTGTGCACCCTGTGGCTTCTGCAGGGCGAGGTGCTCTGCTCTTAGCCTGCCTGAGAAGTCCTGGACAGACACATGGGCCGGACCCTGAGATCCTGCTGTGGGCCAGACATGGGAATTGCCTCTTACCCAGTCCTCCCGGCAGGGCTGCGACATGCATCAGTTCTCTCCAGCGTTGGTGTGGATTCAGTTTCATTTGTCACCACCGTCATCAAAGACAGGGTCTTGCTATGTAGTGCAGGCTGGCCTTGAACGCACTATGTAGCCTGGTCTGGCCTCCAGCTCACAGTGATCCTCCTGCTTCAGCCACCAGAGGGCTGGCATGACAGGCGTGCACCACCACGCCAGGAAGATTCAAAGTTTGAGCAGTGGTCTAGAGGGTAGGG